AGTAGTAGTAGTGGCAGTAGTAGTAGTAGTAGTAGTAGTAGTAGTAGTAGTAGTAGCAGTCGTCGTCGTAGTAGTCGTATTAGCCGGCAGGCTCCATTTAGCCCCCGGAAAAAAATCAAAAAAAAAAAAAAAAAACATTTGCCAAGTATTGCTCGGGGGGATACTAAGTGTGTTCTGAGGTTATTTCATGGCCCTCGGTCCATCTCGCCACCGTGCCTTGGTTGTGGGTCTGAGGCCTCTTGGATGTCGTTGGCATGTCGTCGAGGCCTTTCGAGGGCCTCCTGGAGGCAGTTTTGAAGCTTGTGGGGGGGCTGCTTTGGGCTGGACGTTTTGGGGGCCTCTTGCGGGCCTCGTGGGGAATCTTAGGGGCCTCTTGGGGGCCTCTTGGTGCCTCTTGGGAGCCTGTTGGGGCCTCAGGGGCGCCTCTTGCTTGGGGCGGAGGCCGTGGATTTTCGCTTTGTGTTCCCCCTCTTCGGGACGTCTTGGCGCCCTCTTGGGCCGTCTTAGCGCCTCTTGGGCCGTCTTGGGGTCTCTTTGGCCGTCTTGGGGACCACTTTGGGGCCTCTGTGGCCACCTTCGGGTGGTCTTGGGGGCCTCTTTTGACATCTTGGAGCGTCGGACGCTACAAAAGCAGATAACCCCACAAGGATCGAACAACCATTGGAACATCAATGGTTTTAGCTTGTCGCGGCCCTCTTGGGGAGGATCTTGGGGCTGTTGGGGCGTCTCGAAGGTTTCCTGGGCTGTCTTGCGGCCGTCTTGGGCGTCTTGGATGGTTCCTGGGCCGTCTCGGAGGCCTTTTGAGTCCCTGCTGGAGGCTTCTTGGGGCCTTCTTCGCCCATTCTGGGGCCCGATTGGGCGGGGCCACCGTCCGAGAGGTCCACGCGAGACACACCCCGGCAGCGCCCAGTAGCGCCCAGCGGCGCACAGTGGAGCCTGGGAAACTGGTGGTCCAGGACGCCAAGCACCCTACAGTCAAGGCGCTGAAATAAGGAACTGTTTGGGTTCGGAAGGGGCTCGATGTTCCCCAGGTTCCTCCATTGCCGTCCCTCTCGCCCTCCTCGGGCACGGAGGCACTTTTAGGGCCAAAAAGGGGTTTCGTTCCTTATTCAGCGTTCCTTCTTTGAGGGGCCCGACTGTATAAGTCCTCTACCCCTGAAGATTGCCTGAGCCTTGGGGCGCCTCGCTACATGTGCTGAAGGCACGGCGGCGGATCCATGCCCACTGCATCTTGGAGTTTCCGGGCTCCCTTCCCCAGGCATCCGAGGCGCAGTGGATTTGGATGAACACATGTTGAAGAAATGGACCCCCGTAGAGGCCAGATCTAGCTCAGGCTGCGCTCTCTCTCGGTGAGCCTCTCTGGCTGGAGCCGGCTGGAAGCCTGAGGTGGCCCGGCATCGGTTCTGGCCAGCGGTCGGTCCCCCTGGGGCCGCTGTGGTGCCCCCGGACCGTCACAGGACGGATCATGGGGTGGGAAAGTTGCAGCATATGGGTCCCGGGGATGGGTCCGGGGATTCGCTTTCAATGGATCTGGCCTCGTCACCCCCTTCTGACAGATCTGCTCGGGCCCAGCCAGCTGGGGCCCCTCGGCCGCCTCTGGGCCCTCTGGGGTCGGCGCGGGGGCTGCTGTAGGCTAGGGGGTCTGTCAGTGGATGGCGAGGGCAGTTGTGTCAGTGGGCGCATGCCACTGACACAACTGCCACTGGCGAGTGGCGCGGTTGCCACGCGAGTGTTGTGTTTGCACGGCGACCCGCACCACCCCAACCCACCCCGAAGGTCCGAAGCTGTCCTCCACTCGCAGTGGGGAGGGGGCCCGGAACATTTAGGGACAGAACACATATGGAAAGGCCTACGGGCATGGCGCTGATAGGGGAGCAAAAAGCTGCAAAGACATACATGTTCGGAGGTCCGCGCGGATTTCTTGGCGCTGGGCCCCCCTCCCTGGGGCGTGGAGCGCGCCGCTGGGATCAGCGCGGGGGCCAGGGCGGTCATCAAGGGGTGCCAGTGTACGGTATCTCTGGCCGAATCTAGCTTGTAAGTGGCTCATGGGTGTCCCAAGGGGCCTAGGGAGTTAGACGACTCCGCTAAGTGGACGGAGCCCACTTAGCCTCTTAGCCTGGTTCGTACCCCCCCTAAGCCACGTGGCGCACGTGCGACCCACTTTGAGCTATGTTTGTCCAGATATAACCCCTCCCTTGGCATCCACTGATCCCCCCCTGATCTCTCAGCAATCTCCGCGCCGATCCCAGCCTGGGCTGGGCGATCCTGGGGCCATCTGTGGGGCCTCTGGGGCCCGTCTCGGGGCCCTCTCGTGGGCTCCCTCGCGGCCATCCTGGGGTCTCGGTGCGTTCCCCTGGCGCGTCCCTTGGCACCTTCCCTGGCGCGCCTCTGCCGTCTTGCCACGTTCCCCGGCGCGTCCACTGGCACGCCCACTGGCACGCCCCCTGGCACGTCGCCTGGCTGGTATCTGTCCCCTGCGCCTCCCCTGGCCAGCCCCCTGGCTCGCCTCCTGGCGAGCCCCCCGACGTGCCCCGTGGCGGGCCCCGTGGCACGCCTCCTGTCTGGTCCGCCGGCGCGTCTCCGGGCACGTGCTGTGGCCAGGCCCCCGGGCATGGCGCCCCTGGCCTCGTGATCCTCCCCCCTTGGCGCGGCGTCTGGCGCGCTCCCCGTCGGGTCCCGCGCCGCGCTCCTGCCCGTCCTCTGCGAGGCGTCCGCGGACGCATCCCCTGGCGCGTCCCCTTCCCTGGCGCATTCCCCTGGCGCGCCCCCTGGCACGCTGCGGTGGGGCGTGCCCCTCCGCCGCAATGCTCTTGGCGCGCTCCCCAGGGCCGCGTCGGGCCTGTGCGTGCTGCTGCGGAGGCACAGGGCTTGCCGCTGGGCGCCAATGGGAGGGTCCCGGGGGCCGCGTGGCGCGAGGCGAGGGGTGGTCAGCCACGCGCAGATGGGGTTGGGGGCAGGGGGGGAGGGCTTCCTGGGAGCACCCCTGCTTCTTAGAGGGCGCGGGTCTTATCTATAGGTGTAAGGCCAGCGCCATCTGAGAAGCAGCCTCCTTCTCAGAAGCTCTCTCCCCTTCCCCCCCCCCCTCGTGCGTGCCGCCAAGGTGGGCGGAGCAGGAGGAGGAGGACGACACCGACGACGACCATCACGAGGCATTGCGCAGGCTGGGCAGTTTTACCTTTCTGGTTTCGGGGGTCGCTCCTTTTTGCGGGTCGCGGGCGTCCCTTGGTGACTAGACGGTGGAACGGAGGCAGGGAGGAGGAGGAGGAGGAGGAGGAGGAGGAGGAGGAGGAGGAGGAGGAGGAGGAGCAGAAGCAGGAGTTGGAGGAGGAGAGGAGGCGGAGGAGGAGGAGGTCAAGCCACATGCAGGCCACAGAACACAAAGGCAGCAGTGCAGCAGCATGCGCCCCAGATGCCCGGCGTGTTCTGTTTCGTGGCGCGGCTATTCCTGGAGAGGGCTGGGCCCCCGCCCGGAGATTGCTCCGTCATCCCCGAGGCGTTTTGTTGATAGGCTCGAGGCCCGGCCGGGCCCCCCCAGAAGCACAAAGCAGCGTCAGGAGAGGAAGCAAAACGCACACAGGCACAACCAATTGGCGATTCCCAGGGAGATGTGGGAAAAGATGGGAAAAGAGTTGAGCACGGGGGAAGATCCAGAACATGTGTGGAAATATGAGGAAACCTGGGAGTTGTGTGTATTTGCTTGTGTCAGCTCATTGCATGCGTGCAACGCCTGGCAGTGCAGCAGCCTCGCCGCCCTCTTCGTCTTCCTGGTCCTGGTCTGAGTGGCTGTGTTAGGCTTGCTCCTGTTAATTCGGCCCTCGCGCGCCCCGCTCGGACCCTGACTCGCCGCTGGCGCTCTCGCCTGCGGCTGCCGACAAAAAACGTACTTGCTTGTGTGCCCCTGGGCCCCTTTCGCAGCGAGAAGCCTCCCGCCGCGCTTTTCTTCACGGCGCGAGGGGGGCCTGGGACCGTCCTCGCGGTCGGCCGCGAGAGCTCGGCGCCGGGGGCCCGTGCGAGTCGCGCGTCGCGCTGCGCCGCCACGCCACGCCCACCACGCGGCAGCGCGACGCTCCGGAGGGAACGAAGACACACAGACACAATGAATCGTCCACTCCCAGGAGAATATATGGGAAGATCTGGGAAGTGGGGGGGGAGACACAAGCCCAGAAAATATGGGAAAAGATATTGGGACTCCTGTCGTCTGTGTCTATTTACTTCTGTGTCCCAGGGCCCCTTCACATGCCGGAGCACGGCGCGCCGCCCACGCTCCCGCTCCCGAGCGGCACCGTCTCCATCCTCCCGTCGGTCGTCGTCGATTCTTGCAGCGCCCCCATGTTTCTCTGAAATCGGGCCCGTCCCTCTACAGTCGGAAGCTGGGCGAGGGCTGCTAAAACCGTGGTTGCTGAAACGGCCCTCCCGGAGGGAAAAAGCAACTTCCCGGAGTGAGGCGCGGCACGCGAAACAGTCAACGGGCTTCTTCCCGGAAGGGCGAAGACAACTTCCCGGAGGTCGAGGTTAGCAGCCACGGATTTAGCAGCCTTTGCCCTGCTTCCGATACAGGAGGAAGATGCAAAAATAATCAAAACATAGCCTGGGGATTATTTTTTGAGTATTTTGTTTGACCATTGATTATTTTGAATTTTTCGTCGAAAATCCCCCTGTAGGGGGGCACGCCCGACTCAATGTTTCTCCCCCCTCCCCTCCCCGATTCCGGCGCAGCCCTCAGGCGTTGCTGTGGCCCCATAATTAAGGGGGCTTCACCGAAGGCCCCAGGTGGCAGCACCTGCGTGGCGTGCTGGCACCCATTCGGGCACACCTGTCGCACGCGTCGTGACCCTTATAGAGAGCTCCAGCGAGGACGATACTGCGTTGCCCACAACTGCACATGGTTGGGTCCCTCGCCAGAATAATTTGCACGGGCGGAGCGAAGGGGTCTAGGTTCACAGCTCGTTGCTCCCCCCCGGGGTGCCGGCGGACTGATCGCCGGGGGCGCCGACCCACAGGCCGAGGACGACGATGGCATGGTGGCGCTGGAGCACGTGCCTCCAGAGGACATGATGACGTCGGCAGAGAAGAGCCTCTGGAAGGGCATCCTCGGACGCAGGCCTCAGGGGCTGGATGTGTACGCTTGGAGTCGTCTTGAGGGTCGGAGGTGGCCCAGCACTGGGTCCGCCAGCAGGAAGGGCAGCCAGGTTCGAGGCGCTGGGTTCCGGAAGGTGTTTCGCCTTTATTGGCCTCTACGGGGCCGTTTTCGGGCCCCGGGACATTGAAAAACTGATCCCGGGTGGCAAATTTCACCGGATGGACCCTGTAATCGGTCCAGGGACGGACCGATTTTGAGTGGATTCGGGTCATACCCCCTTCCTGAGCGATTTTCTCGGGCCTCAACCAGCTCAGAACTCCAGGTCCTGGCGGCCTCCAGCTCAGGTGCTCGATGTGTTTGGTCGGCCAAATAGCCAATGAGCTCGGCGAAGGAATTCGGTGCGTAGTCGCTCCGGCGTCCCTACGGTTGGGAGGCTGGGGCGTCTACACATTGAGATTCTTGGCCGACCAGGCGATTTGCAGTCAACCCGCATAGTCAGGATGGGCAACCTTCCCAAGGGTACCCTTGCCTCCTTGCCCCTTCGGCCCATCCTTTTAGAGACTCTCGCTGGCCCACCTCGTTCGAGAAACGCTAACGTGGCCCTCCAAGTCCCTTGCATCCTTACCGCGCATATCCTTATCATACGGGGTGACTGTTTTTTTGAAGTCGGGCCTGCCCTTCTACAAGATTAACATTCAGAGATCGTGAGAAACATAGTCCTGGGACGATTTTTTGGTTTGGGATTTTTGTGAAAAAATGAGTATGTTTTTTTGGATTTTGGGGATTTTTGGGATTTTTGGTTTGGGGTTTGGTTTGGGATTTTTGGTTTGGGTCTGTGTTTGATTCTCTCTATGTTCCGTCCAACGTCCCCCTGCAGGAGGGCAGGCCCGACTTCACTGTCATGGAGGATGACGATTCATAAATGTCCGGGGGTCGTGTTCACGCGGCGGCGCCCGGGATGACGATTAGAAAAAACCGGCCGCGGGCTGGAAAACTATTTTTTGAATCGTTCTCCTCCAGTCAGAAAATTGTGCAGAAGTAGCAGAACACTTTTTTTTATTAACCGTTCATTCCCATTTGTTTTATTAATTGTCATCCCGCATTAGTTGGTGTGCACTCCGAGCCCCACCCAGCAGGCCGACGGAGCCGCCCTGCCGGAACGAGGAGCCCGTGGGAGGGAACGGCTCGACGGGCAGACTCTCTTTCGGAGCTCCGCTAGGGAGCCAGATGCGAACCCTACCCCTACCCCCCACGATTTCTGAAGGGGAGGGTGGGGTTCACTTCGTTCGGGAGCTCCCGAGCGAAGTGAACCCCATCCTCCCCCTCAGAAATCGTGGGGGGTAGGGGTAGGGTTCGCATCCGACCCCCTATCCGCGTGGATTTCTCGGGACCGGCGCTGGTGCTCTTCCTGGCGGCGCCTCTGGCGCCAGGAGGAGTCGGGGCCCCCCCTACGTCAGGGGGGAAAAACACACGGAGACAATTCATCGTCGACCTCCAGGGAAGGTACAGGAAATGGGTGGCAAGACGGAAGCCCCGAAGAGGTGGCAGAAGATGGGAAGCTCTAGGATTCGTGCCTATTTGGTTGTGTGTCCCTGGGTCCCTTTACCAACGGTGTGGCGATCACCCTGCACGGTGACTCAGTGGGGTTTCGGGGTCACCGCTCGCTTTGGGGCTCGGGTCGTTCTTCTAGGACGTCTCGGGCGACCACCCTCTGAGCCAGGGGGGATGCGGAGTCAGCGCACGCTTTGGGGACTCGTGTTAGGTCGGGCATGTCCCCCTACAGGCGGATATTGGACGAAAAGTAAAGCATACCCCACAAATGTCCTAAAATATTCAACAAATGCTCCGAACATCGTTCCCAGACAGTGTTTTCTACTATTTTTGAATATTCCCCCTGTAGAGGGACAGGCCCGACTTAAGACTCGTGCCGTTCTCCGAGGACGCCTCGGGGCCCCGGTTGGGGTCATCTGACGGTTTGGGGGCTCTGGTCGTTCTCCGAGGTCGTCTCGGGCGACCACACATTGTGGTGAGTCATTGGGGATGCGGAGTCATCTGTCGGTTTGGGGGCTCGTGCCGTTCTCCGAGGACGCCTCGGGCGACCACACTCTGTGGTGAGTCAGTGGGGATGCGGAGTCATCTGTCGGTTCGGGGGCTCGTGTCGTTCTCCGAGGACGTCTCGGGCGTCTGGGGCCTCCACGGGGTCCCATAAAAGCCGCCTGGCGGCGGACTCTGCGCGGCGAGGTCGCTGGGCGGATGCCCAGGGCGCCACGCCGCGGCACCCGTCGCCGACGTCCAAGACGAGTCCGCGCGGACCTCCGGACTCCGGAGGTTTGAGCCTCTGCCGTGCCCTGCGATCCGACGTAGCGTGGAGTCGGGCCCGTCCCTCTACAGGGGGAATATCAAAAAATAGTAAAAAGAATTAGTCTGGGGACGATGGTTGCACTTTTGTGAATACGTTCGAGCATGTTGGGTGTATTTTTCATTTGTCGTACAAGATCTGCCTGTAGGAGGACATGCCCGAGGTAATGCTATGCCCTGTCATCCGACGTGGCGACAAAGATCACAACATCGCGAACAAAAATCACGCCCGGAGACCTGGGGCCCATCTTCCTGCGCCTTTTCTCGAGCCGGCTCGATCCCTGCGAGGGCCCCAGGGCCCGAAAGAAGGCGAGACGATCTCAGGGTACCCAGACCCCCGACGTCGTGATTTTTCACAGCGTCGACCCCAGAGGTCTGGACCCCCTTCCCATGGACCGCTGCTTCATCCCGAGCCGTTTCTGGACGGTCCCGAGGCTAGGGGAGGGGGGCCCCTGGAGGCCGAAAATTGAACAATTTGGTTCGCAATGCGAAGAGGTCCAGGTTCTGCTGCGTGCTGCTCCCCCGGAGGAGCCCGAGGTCAGCCCGGAGCCGGAGGTGTGCGGCCGCGAGCCGCCGGCCGACCTGCTCGATGCGGACTGCTACACGGGCCCGGGCGCAGGGGGTGACCCCCGCTTACCCGGGCAGCTGGAGCAGCAGCCGCCGCTGATGGACTGAGATCTGTTTGGCCCTGAAGGGGGTCCAGCGAAAAGGGGGTGGTGCAATAGATGTGGTGCGATAGACTTGCGGGGCTGCCATAGATTCGGGGTGTGCAATACATCCCAGTGCCCCAAACGCATTGCTGGACTGTCGCGTGCAACACATGACAATGCAGTGCATTCCTCCGTCGCAATGCATTTGCAGTACAACTGCCCCAAGCCTATTGCACCACCCCTTTTCAGCTGGACCCCCTTTTGGGTCAACTGAGCAGCCGCCGCTGATGGACTGAGAGCCGGCTGGCACTGACTGTCTCACCTCTTCTCGGCGGCGAGCGAGGGGGGGAAGCGAGGAGGGGGCGGAGCTTCTCAGGAGGCTCGGAAGTCCCCCAGCCTCCCGAGAAGTTTTCGGAGTTTTCCCGACGACACAGAAAACCCTCACAGACGGCGCGAGGGCTTCTGAGAAGTCCCGCGTCCCGCCGCCCTCAGAGCAGGCCTTCTCCTTCTCACTTCCCCCGCTCGCTCGCCGCCAATGTTCCGGTCGACTACACTCAGGGGAGGAAAGGATACTTATAAACCGCTGGCTGCCCTTCCCTTGTTGTCCCCCGTTTCGGTCTCCTGGGAAGCCCTCGTCTCCACCGTTGGATTCGCCTCGAAATTCTGGTCAGAGCGCGTCCGCGGAGTAGCAGTATCGGAATTGTTTGATTTCCCTAGACACGTGAGAGTGACCGTTTGCCAGAGTGACCTTCCTAGATATCCTGACGCATCAATTTGTTCGAGCCATGCGTGTTCGCCTTTTTTCGGGCCCTGGAGCCCTCACAGATCCATCCGGCTCGAATAGTGGCGCAGGAAGATGTGGTCTAGGGGTCTGGGCGTGATTTTCCACGATGTTGCATTTTTGTTCGCTACGTCGGATCTCAGGGCTTGATACGGACCCAATGGGGTCCTCCGTTCGCTCTGCGCGCCCGGGTTTGGCCACTTCGCGTCCCCCTGTAACGAGTCGCCCACCGAAGGTCACTCTTGCCCAGGGTCGCTCTTACGTGTAGCCGATTCGAGGCGGGGATCTACCCTGAGCCACCGCCTGGGGCTTCGGTCTTTGAGGACCTCGGCAGGCAGCGGATACAGACGTGGTCGAGGACGCCCCCTGCCGAGTTCTCCGGGCACCGGTCCCTGGGCGCCGGCTCACGGCTGAAGCGCCCCGGCTCTGCATCTCTCCGGATGCCGTGCCGCCGACAAGGCTCGGGACGATCGAAATGGGTAGGGAAAGAATGGGCACAATGACCGACCACAGTTATTGTCCATCTTGAGCATTTTTCGCTGTCAGTGTCGCTGCGGACTGTGTCCACTCGAGACAGAACGCCGCCTGCCCAACAGCGGCCGCTGTTGGTTTGGGACAATGTTGGGCACTGTTCCCATACTTTGCGTACCCATTCCAGGCGTCTAACATTCAGTCGGGCCCGTCCTTCCTACAGGAGGCAGATGCAAGGATAGTCAAACAACAAATTAGTCTGGGGACGATTTTCAAATTATGTTTGCAGAATTTGTTGAGCATCCCTAGACCATGTTTCATTTCTCGCCCAGAATCCTCCTGTGGGTGGGACATGCCCGATGGAAGTAAAACAGGGGCGGGCACGTCCCTCCTACAGGAGACATCTTCAAAAGTAGTCTAAACAATACTCTGGGACGATGCTGGTGTTATGTTTCAATGTTTGTTGTTGGGGGTTCTCTCTAGACTGTTTTTTTGTTGAATTTCGCATAGTAAATATTTTTTTGTTGGGGGTCATCTCTAGACTGCTTTCTCTCAATTCTCCGCCTCGTACACTCACCTCTGGGGGGGGACCTGCCCGCTGGCCGTGTCCGCAGCGAGGCGGGCCGCCCTGCTGGCCGCACGCCGAGCCGCATACAGTCGGACCCGGCGCGCCGGAGTCAGGCAGTGGCGAGGTGTCCCGGCTCGCTTATGCCCCAACCAAGCGATGTTCTAAGAACCTCCTCCTCCCTCCTCCTCCTCCTCTTCCTCCTCCTCCTCCTCCTCCTCCTCCTCCTCGGGTCCCCAAACGGGGTGGTGACCACACCGTGCGGTGAGTCGGTGGGGATTCGGGGTCTGCGCACTCATGCAGTGGCGAAGCGTCCCGGCTCGCTTATAGCCCCACCAAACAATGTTCTAAGAACCCTTTGTCGGGGGCGGAAAAGAGGGGGGTGATGACTAGGGGGGGTGGATATCATGGCGGGGGCCATGATATATTTCCCAAGATTTCATGGCGCCTCTTCTTATTTCATGACGTCCCCGGCCCCCCCGCTGGGCCGCGCACATGCCGCCGGTCATGATTTGCCCCCCCCCCTCTTGGACACCCCCCTCTTTGCCGCACCCGATGTTGTGGTTCCCACGAGATGTTCTCAGAACATGTCTGGCTGGGACCGTCTGGTCTTAACCCATCGGGCTTCTGTTCTGAAAACATTGTGTTTTTTCTTGGAACATGTTTGAGTTCTAAGAGCGTTTCGTGATATGGCTACTGCGCGCGGCGGGGGTACTTATAAGTACTTATGCAGTTACGCCAATTATAAGTAGCTCCTAAGTCGCTCGTAAGTAGCTGATAAGTAGTGTAAGTAGCTCGTAAGTAGCTCATAAGTAGTGTAAGTAGCTCATATGTAGCTAAGTTACTTAGGAGCTACTTATAAGTAGGGGCAGCCTACTTATAAGTAGGCCAAAGTACTTTTAAGTACTTTGGCCTACTTATAAGTACTTACGGCCTACTTATATAAGTAGCGTAAGTAACTTACGAGCTACTTATGTAAGTGGCGTAAGTGCCACATAAGTGGCGCGTAAGTGCCACATAAGTGGCGCGTAAGTGCCACATAACTGCAGTTACGCAAACTAACGCCATGTATGGGCATGCATTTTCAATCAATATATATAACAGCGCGCGCGCTGAACAGGACGCCCAAAACACTTGTGACGCCAATGTCGTTAACCCTAAACCCTAAGAGAACCTTGGTGCCCGATCTGGAATATTGCGCGGGCGCCGTGGGAGGCATGCTGCGAAACCAATAGTTGTTTCATGCATTTGTGCTGCCGCTGGCCCAGACAAAGGTTTCAGGCACCCTTGCAAGCTTGCGTTCAGCGCAGCCCCCCGCCTTGCGTTTCGCGCATTGCAGTTGGGCCATGGCGGGTGAGACCATGCAGGCTCGCGTGGAGCGCGTCCAGGAGCAGATCTTCGACATCATCAAGGAGTACACGTTGAGCCATTGCCCCCCGATTCTCCAGTTGCGCGACCAGGCGGTGCGATTGTTGCGGAAGGAGGGTCTGCTGAGGCGCCAGAAAACGAATGGGCGCTACGTGGCCGTGCACCCGCGGAACAGGTACGGCGATGGCATAATTCCATCCCACGTGCGCACGCTGGTGCGCAGTTTTTGCAGCGACGGGTTCAGCATGGATGAGGTGGGCGTGCCCTTTGCCATCGAGATGCCACCCCCATCTCACCAGCGCCACGCCGAGGCACTCGAGTTCAACGGAGACCTTGTCAAGGAATCCCACGGCTTCTTGCCGCCATACGACGAGGGCGAGATCAAAATCCTTAGCGTGAGCAAGTCGCACACGACCCAGGCGACCCGCTGCATTCAGTTTGGCAGCCCTACAGATTCAGATAACGTCGAGTTCGGTACCGACGGGAAGCTTGACATCCACAAGATCGGGTTGAAGCGCCCCACGTTGGCAGATGCTGCGAAGGAGGGGTTTGAATGGGACGTGCTTGTCTGGCAGGCTGAAGACGCATTCGGCGCCATTAGACTTGCCCCAGGACCCGCTTAAGTTTGTGAAATCGATGGCCCACCTTTTAACTTTTCGATTGCCCCCGCCCCCGCCCCCCCCCCGCATTTATGTTGGCTTTAGCCGCGTTCAATCAGGAGTCTGGAAATGCTGCGCAGAAGGTTTCCATGAATGAGACTAGGTGGGAGACCTTGTTCAAGATGCACGGGGACGCGCAGAAGATCGTCACCAACTTCGAAGCCAATAAAAAGGAGGGCGACATCTTGAACCCCGACGTCGCGTGGGGTAGGGCAATAACAAAAGCGCAATCCAGAAATCCAGATTTCGTTTCAGAGATCCAGAGTTTGGCGACGTTTGCGAGGAAGCTCGCTGGTGGACCAGACGCACCGAATTTGAAGGAGCTTCGGGCTTTCAACCGTTCGTGCCAGAAGCCGCGCATTGTGCAGGGCCCCGTCTTGGCGGCGGTGGCTGATGCAGTGATCGGCTCGGATGGTTTGGGCTGCATTCCCTTCCGCATTGATTGCGTAAAGGCAATGATGAGCGCCGACAGCAAGTATGCATCGGGCGACTTTCAGAACCTCTTTGCATCGGGTGACTTCGGGCTTAAGCTCACGAGTAACAAGGAAGTGCAGCGCATGATCTCGCAGGCAGACATCATGAAATCGATGGCTATAGACATCGCAAAAACTGTCAACCTGTCAGAAGACAACGCGGCCGTGAAGACGTTGATCAACAGGTTCGGCATGAGGCTCGTGCACCATTGCATGAAGAAGCCCGACCCCAGGAGCCAAAAGTTCGAGTCGCTTCACCACATCGGCTACGAGTACGTGCAAGACCTGGCTACCATTGCAGGCACGCAGATCACATCCCCGTGGGCGAAGAAAGGAGCCCCGCCCAAAGCTCCCGCGCAGCAAGCTGCGGCTTCTGCACAAGTGCAGAGCGTAGGCGGAATCGCCGACAGGATGCACAAATTGGCAAGTATGGGCGTGAGCGCCAATTGCCACATCGAGGTCATCAAGATGAAAACTGTATACAAGGTGCAGGAAGTCAAGGAGGATGAGATCAAGCTGCAGAGCATCGGCGATGGGAGCGACTACACAGTCGATTCGGCATACCTCCTGAAATCGCTACTCACCCCGCGTGCACAAGAGTTCACGGTGATCACAAAACGCGAGCCGAAGAAGGACGCCGCGCTCTCCCCCTTCCACGCTTGCAAGCCGTAGGAGGGCGGCGTGTATACTATAGGGGGAGGGGGTGGGGGAGGGGGCAACGATTTTGGCAATGGAGTTTGGTTGTCTTACACACCCGCAGCCCACGTGCTCTTTTCCTTTTGTTCTCCATCCCGCACCGTTACCCCAACCCCACCGCCCATCCCAGCCCCGCCCAAACCCACCACCCCCGCAACCCATCCCACCATCCCAACAGGAATACATCAACGATTGGAGTGCCAGGTGCGACCCGCGCTCGAACTCGGACTGGCAGCGCATGGTGTTGGTTGGTCACGTGACGTCGGCGCTTGATGCATTGTGTAACCTACAGGGGGCAGCGGGCGAGATGGTCGACATCGTGACGGAGCCCACGGAGCACCGCGGCGTGTACGCCAAGGTTGACATCGATGTCTCCAGCGCGATCTTCCCGCCCTTCTCGACCAAAGTTGCCTTCTCGGATGCAGCTCCAAACGGTGCCATCGACGTCGGCGCGGAGATCACTAATGCGGACGGCGTCGCGCAGAAGCTTTACATCTTCATGAAGCTGCAGAAGCATGATCCAGGCGGCATCGCGGACAACACGCGCGGCAGCTACAAGATGGCGAAGATAGAAGGGTTCATGCCGCACTACTGGCTCATTGACAAAGAGGTGACCGACCCCAAGAAGTCTAACATGGCCATCAAGCTTCACACCGTTGACGCCTCGGTCGGCGCGGAGAAGTTTACATTGAAAATACCGTTCCTGGAAAACACCAAAAAAAAAAACTCCAAACAAACCCAAAAAAATAACCAAAAAACACCAAATCACAATAAATCATAAAAAAATAAACAACAAAAAAAAAAACCAAAAAAACAACAAAAAAAAAAAAAAAAAACAACAGCAGCAACCAAAAAAAAAACCAAAAAAACAAAAAAAAAAAAAAAAAAAAAACAAAAAAATAAACACACAAATAAAAAAACCAAAAACGCCAAAAAAAAAACAAAAAAAAACAAAAACAAAAAAAAAAAAAACACAAAAAACCAAAACAAACGTTACTAAAAAGAACACAAAAAAAAAAAACCCAAAAATAACAGAAAAAAAAAGCACAAAAAAAAAACAAAAAAAAACAAACCCAATCAAAAGGGGACCAGCCTTCGCGCACTGAACCCAAGGCGGCGAAAGCCCGCCGATGAAGAGGGTCCGCACGCAGTAGTCGTGGCTCGCGGAGCCGAGCTTATTTGACACTTGTGCCGCGATCTCAGGTCGGTGGGGCGGCACGCCGATTAAGGAGACAATGGTATTATTATTGCGGATTTCCTTTAGCGCTTGCAGGACACACGGCGTCCTCTGGACACATGGCGTATTCTTCTCTTTCAGCGCTTGCAGGAGAAACAAAAACAGCTCGCGTGCGCTCGCGCGGGGAGAGGGGGATGGGGGAGGGGGCAGCGGCAGCGCTGGTCCAAGCCTCGTCGCTGCGGCTGGGCGCGGGCTCGATTGCAGTGACAAGCCGTCAGTGATCAAGCGAGGTTGCGCTCGGCCGCCGCGGGGGGTTCGCGCGGCTGATTTCACGCGCGCCGATGTCGTTCACGATCGAGGCGAAGCCCGTGGTCCAATATCATGCCGCGGACATGAAGCACGTCCGCACGTGGGTGCCCCAGTACACCAAGACGATCGATGGAGCTACGTACGTCGAGCTCAGGCAGACAGATAGACCTCTCGCTGTCTAACTCGGCCTATCCCACGAGGGCAAGGCCAAGTACTGGAGCAAGAGCTGCATCCTGGAGGATTTGCGCAAGGCGAGGAACACGCGCGTGGACGAGGTCTTACTTGCCCACTTGCATGCGTGCAACCCGTGCGAGAAGCCACCCGCTCTCCCAGATGGCTTCAACAGGATGGCGGTGAATCCCGACGACTTGCCCTATGTTACCAGCGTGGCTTTGACTTGCAACGAGGGCGCGACCTTCAATGTGAAGATGACCGTGGAGCTCATGCCATTGAGGGTGCCATGTGTTGAGCTGACCGTGGAGAATCTCAC